ACCGCCACAACCTACTCCAAGCCTAGTTAGCCCCCATCATTCCCCCTTAGTGCCTCCCAGTTCATCCGTTTCTGCTGTCGCTTCTGCACCGCCTTCTGGTCCTGCAGGTCCTGGGGTCGAGGACTCGTTGACCCAGCTAAGATCCTTGGCTAGCGGAACTCCACGACCCAGTGTGCGACCGCCAAGTCAAGCGTCATCGGTGCCGTCCACCTCCTCGTTCACGTCAACACAGCCCGGTGGCGCTGGATTTGTCCCACATGTTCAGAACAGGTAAGGACTGCTTGTTTGGATTTTTCATCAATTGTTTTGTTCTGCATTTTTCCTATTTGTTTACTATTTAGGACGACTGCCAATGTGTCATCAGCCTCTTCTGCTTCTGCAGCGACTGTTTCGCTGACCACACCATCGACTTCGCAAGCCGCTGTTGCTCCACCTACAACCACAGCAGCAGTCGTATCTGCCGAATTGGCAGCGAATATCAGTCCGGAACGACTGGCAGCCTTAAATCCACTGATAAATGGCGGATTTTTGAGCAGGGGCGCGAACCAGATGCTGGGCACTGGGAATGCCATGGTAAGGGTTTTCTATGGGATTCGAACTGATAAAATGTACGGTTCTTTATTTCAGGACCCTTTAATTACGCAATTTTTGCTGAGTCAAGCACAGCATAGTCAACAACAGTACCTCGCCGGAAATTCGACAGCAAACCTACTGGCTCGTTTTATGATGCCGCCGATAAGCGGCACGAACACTTCGGTACAAGGCGCTGGTGGCATGGGAAAATGACGTGATATGGCGTTTCGCCCCCGTGTGTCGCCCTGGGGTCTAGCGGCAACGCTTGCGAAGAAAACCTGGCCTACTCGGTGACGTCCGATGTCTATCGTCGTGTTGTACTGATGGATTGTTCTGTTCTAACCAGCACACGTTTGTTCATCGCGCGCGGATGCTTCAATCGAATCTCTGCGGATCTTCATTATCACAACGTCATCTCTCTCTTCTCTCGTCTATCCGTTCGTTTGTCTGTGTGTCCGCCTTGTTATGAAGCATCTCGTACTTACCTCATTATGAGTTATATTATCAGTTTGTACTTCGTTTATTGATCATTATTGTATTTCAAACTATATATACCTTGAAAGCACAGTTCATAATGAAGATGTCGCTTTTTTCGAAGCGTGAAGGAGCTTTTGGAGGGAAAATGGAGAATTTTTTTCAGCGCGAATTGTACCTGTGGTGTGCAGTGATTTTGACGAGATGTTTCTCGTAAGGCTACGCTCTCTAATTGAAATTTTCAGCATGTAAAATCTGTAGGTGCAAAAACGTAAATCCTTTCTGATATGTAAAAAAGTGTGTGGTAGGTATCTTCATCTTCCTGCTAGCAGTTGGGTTAAGGAAAAAATGTAGGAGTTCTAGAGGTTGAACCTCGACAAATCCTGCTAAAGCTCATCATGTAACTAGGATTAGGGGTTGCTTCATTGGAGACGTGGCGTAAAAGTGTAGATTTAGGCAATATTCCCGGTTAACACTGAGGTCAGTTTGGCTGATGTTCACATTATCCACTCAAAGCTCCCTTAAGGTTTGAGAAGCGTTCATCTCCAGAGTGGACTGTGCTGTAGAGCCTGGGCACAGATATGCAATCCTACAAAGGTTAAATACTGTGTTCCAGGTTCCATCGCCCTCGATACTCTCGAATCCTTCCTCTTTTTATGGCATTTCGCATTTGAGCCTTCCCAAAAATCGCATGTTGTTGATACCCAATTTTATAATCTTCGAAATGTAGTGTTTGTTTTATTTGATCACATTTAACCTCTTGGGAACTCTGTTGTAGCATTCTTCGATCCCGCAGCAGCACCATTTGCACTAAAAAAGGGCTATCCCTCCAATTCTTCTCCCTTTCTCGTTTTCCCAAAATGTTTCACCCTCATTTTTTGTTCTGTTCTGTTCGTTGAATCGTTGCGGGTGAACCACCACACACATACATACACACATACGCTTTGAACCATAGTAGCCCCACATTGTCGTGTTTTCCCCTCCACTTCTCCTTCTCCACCCCCACTATCCCTGGTTCACTCCCAATGTGCTTACTTTTTTACTTTTGAAAAATTGTGCTACTCGCGCGTTCGCCCGCCTCCTGTCTGTATGTATATGTAGAGTTGATGGAGGTGAATTTTTGAATGAAAAGAGGAATTATATTGTATCGTTCGCTGTTCTTTT